TGTGGGTTCAGCCATGACGCAGTCGGCAGAACAAGCGAAGCTTGACACATATCTCCATACCAGACAACACGCACTCTGCAGCATAGTTCGCTGCGCGCGACCTACTCCAGGAAACGCAACGAGTATGCCGAAAACAACATGGAAGAAGTATGTATTATGAAGAAGCCCTCCATTCCATCGCCCTATGTCCGTCGTCATTCAGGGGTTATACAAAGACGTTCCTAACATGCTCATTTCCTACCAAGAGTAAGTAGCTGCTTCATCGCGTTTCTGCTGCACCACACTGAATGGAACTCGTTGATTCGCTCGTCTGCCTAACGTTCCATCCGTCGCACATGCATGACTACATTACGCATACCTGTTTCAGGCGCTTTTGCCATTCTCAACCTCTTATATGGGTGCGGTCCTCTGCAATCCAACAGTGTACTATAGCATTAATTTCGCGACTGCCCTTACAGTGTTCGCTTGGGATCCAAGCAAGTCAGCATCTCTTGACTGCCAGTAGCCTTATACTCAGGAGCTCAGGAAGTGCTGTTCTCACAGCCTTCTTTTAGGCTCGTCCTCCAGTCACCCCTTTGGGCTCTCCTCCCTTCACAACCAGCAGCGCCTGGCGGATGTGGTGAGCGTAAGGCTCAGAACCTACGAGTCTGTTGATGTTGACATATGGAACCGTGTAGTCGGGATCTACACAGGACACTCGCTGCGGGGCTGTGAGATGCTTTGCGGATCCGGTGGTCCCCATTTGTTCAAAGCGCGCACAAGGTACAGGCAGGTCTATACATAGCCATGTATCCAGACCTGATCGAAAGTGCCAACGTCATCGTGTGGACGAACTCAACGAATAACTATGGTACCTTGCGGGTTCGATGTGCAATGTACAACTGGCTAACTTGTGACTTCACTTCTGCCATTTCGGGTTACTTTTCGGCTAGCATTCGGGGGAAATGCGATGCGCGAGTCCCAGGACTGAGCAAGGCTCGCGGGCATTTGATGATCGGAAACTGCGAGGTGGCATCTGCCATCTGGTGAGGACTTACGAGTTGCACCCAACAGTGATCGCTTGGTCCTTGAGTTCCTCTGACGGTTCTGGAGAAACTGAAGAGTGGATCCATTGTTTCTGCTTTATCCAGGCGCAAAGTTCAACGCGCGCATCAGTTTGAAGTATGAGGATAAGGTGTTTAATATCCGAGAACCCACGAACAAGGTTCCCCACGGTATGCTTCTCATTGTTTCTTTAGAGAAGCTTGAGGATCACTTGACGCATTCTTGGGACCTTAAACAGGTTAGAACCTCTTGACTGCTAGTAGTCCCATCGGATCCAGCAGTCTTCATTCGGTCAAGGCACATACAACGGAAAGGTCTTTACGTGGCTGCAGATTCAGGGCTAATCGAAAGTGGCAATACCATTGCATGAATGAGCTCAATAAGTGATTCTAGCGGTCCGCTATGCAATGTACCTGGCCAACTGGTAGCCTTGCTCCTGCGACCCCGGATTACTTTGTGGTAGGCTAAGATTCGAAAACGAAATGCGATGTACGAGGTCCAGGACTAAGCAAGGGTTCGTCGGCCTCGATGATTGGAAGGTTGCCAGGTGGCCTCAGCTCTCGGGCGAAGATTCGCCTGGTTTCATTCAACTGGTACTCCCTGGTGGTCGAGTTTTCTTTGACAGTTCCTGAGAACCGATAAGGAGGGAATTCATTAACTTTGCCTCCTTGCTAGCGCATGTTCAATACGCGCATCTGTTCTGAGTGAATGAGGATACGGCGTTTGATTTCCGAGATTACGGGCCTGCATGATGTGATTCTCATACCTTCTCATTTCGGTTCGTCCAGAAAGCTTGGAGGTTTATTCGACGGCAACTGCCTGGCGAGAAGTTGTATTCAATATGAGATCCCCTGCTGCTCGTGTCCTCCGGCAATTCTGGGGAACTAATAGAGGGAATCAACCGTTTCTATTTCCATGCCGGCGCAACTTCCACGCGCGCATCCGCGTCCACAGTATGTATAAAGCATATACTTGGTTTACGTCTGATAGGCCCGTAATCCCCACTCCGATGACAACCACTCTCATCACATTCATTCTTGCCTACGGTGTTCATGCAGTGCCTATCCTCCCTCATAACATCAGTCTCTCGCTATATGTGTCTGATGCTTGTAATGACCTACGCAATTGCCAAACTATGTGGAGCATCATCTATACCTGTCTCCTTACCATTGTTGCGTGCATCTGGACGGCAGTGCACCCAAACATACGAAATCCCAATGATCGTAGTACCCTGGTGTCTGGATCGTCTCGCGGTTACTTGATGATCCTAGCACTGGTTACACCGGAAATCCTTCTAGGGGGAGCGTTGGGGGATTTCTTGGAGGCTCAGAGAATAACAGGAAAATGCGAGATGATCAAAGGTGTGCCCTGAATTCAAGGGGAAATACACATGACAACCTCTACTTTTTACAAGGATGGACGATGACGCATTCATTCTTTGTCATCATGAACGGTTTCTTTGACCCATCCAAAGGAGCAGCAGTAGTTCCCAAAAGGAGCGAAAATCCTTTGGATGTCCTCGGGAAATACCCCGGCATAATTGAGAAGGAGAATGGCGCTAGGAAGGTTATAGTAACAAAGGAGGAAATTCTTGACAGAAGCAAAGGGGACTGGTTTGCAAAATTCATCGTTATCCTTCAACTACTATGGTTTATCATTCATTACATCGGACGATGGGCGGGCCATTTACACAGATCGCAACTCGAGACAATGACGTTGGCGTATGCGACACTAAGTGTCATCGATTACATGCTGTGGTGGCATAAACCTACTCTCATCCGATTCCCGATCCGCGTGACGGAAGATTCCAACCGTTCTGATCCTCCGAATTCCAAGGACCTCGATGCCGATCAGCCAGCGCCCAGTCTGGAGAATGGGGCAGTTCTGAATCCCACTCTAGCGGAGATCGTTGGATATGGTCCTATTTGGGCTGGTGTGGCCACTGGGATCATCTTTGGTGGAATCCATTGCTTTGCATGGTCATTTTCCTTTCCGACACGTGCAGAGATGATTCTGTGGCGAATTTCAGCGATACATATGATAGCGTCCCCTATTCTGTCCATGTCGAGACGCAGAACCAGTTCCCGCCGTGTTGAAGATTGGTATCGTTTTGCTGTGGCTGAGATTCTTGGTGTAGGCATAGTGTCTGGCGATCACTCCGCTGATTCTCGCTCCGCCATAGTTTTAATATTCGAGGCACTCATGGAAATTACTTACGCCGCTGCCCGGATTATCTTGTTCTCACTTCTTTGCGTTCACCTCCTCCTGATCTATACCGGACCCCGTCTTGGACCTCATTTCTCCCGCATCTCGGATAGATATGTGCACATTTGTGCTTCTGATTTTAATCTACTGTGGAAGCAGTTGTGCTACCGTTGACAGGACTGGCATGGCGATCTATGGGGGTGGGGACTTGAATGACATCTAAGAGATTGACAGAGTCAGACGAAGCGTGTTATTGCAGTTGTTTGTCGATGACGAACCCCCTTCACAAAAGCAGCTGCCAGCGTCCTGCACAAAGCATGGTGTGTATGGGGAGGATCGACTTCAATCGTTCATGTCCACAGCACCCGGTCGAAAACGGTCGACACCAGGTGTCTGGTAAATTTGAAACTTAAGCCCAACTGGACAAGATACAGTTCATGGCTTGAACGAGGCTCGGCGGGGATCCAAAGGAAAAAGGATGGCAGAGTACGCATGCGGTGGCAAATAATGCACGATGGCTGGCGCTCTGTGCATGGCCCCAGGTTGACCAGGAGCATTTGCACCCCAAAGTGAATCCAGCATGTAAGTAGATTTCAAGGCCACGATCGCCTGATAAACCAAGAGGCCTATCAGACGTGCAGCAGACACCGGGTGGCGGCCATGCGAAACGGTCAACATATGCACCGCCAATAAGTGCAAGAACACCCCATGAACAACTTGCGACCAAGCAATAGCGAATGAGCGGGTTGCGTTAAATAAAACACGACAAGGCGCACGGTGAAGTTCCGGAAGTGAAGAGCCAGGGATAAAGTCTCATGGATGACCCGACCACAAAACGCCGCGTGGCCTCAAACGGGTGCTGGCTCCAATAGGAACGAGGATGGCCTCAGCGTACGCTACGATCCCAAGAATTCTAATACGGGGTTATAGTATGAATAAACTCAACAAATGGTCATGCCACTGTGCGGGCCCGCTGTGGAATGTGCCCTGACTGACTTGTTAGCTTCGTTCCGGCAACCGGGGGTTGGGCTAGGATCACGCGGGCTTCGGGACTGACCGGGGCTGACTTGACCTCGATGGTTCAGGAGCTGTGAGAGGGTATTCACTGTCTGACGAGGATTGCGACTCGCATTCAACAGGGATTCCCGAGTTTTCTCTGAAAGGTCCCAAGAAGAGGGAATTCATTATGTAGCCTTGGCCCCATGGTGTTCAACACGTGCATCCGAATGAAAATGCGGTAATTCATTTCCGAGACTACGCAGTTGCGGATCTGCGTGATGTGCTTCTCGTTTTCGGTTTGTTCAGGAGGTTTACTATAAAGTGTGAATCAATTATTTCTGATCACATACAAGCTCGCACAAGTTCAGCAAGCATAGCAAAAAATAAATGGTGAGTGCCCACCATTTTTCTAAATAGTCAATCAGCTAGGCCTTCCATCCAAACCGCGCGCGCGGTGTTTTATTTTATTTTATTTTTATAATAACGCGTTTAGGATCGATGTCCCCCTTTTCTCTGCGTGCTTATGTAAGAGCTCACCATGCGTGCCCTTCACGCGGAATTTGGCTGTTTTTTTTTTTGGGGGAGACTGCTTCACTGCGTCATCGAAGAACTGTGAATGAGCTAGATGTAATTCGGAGCCCCAAACATGGCTAACAAAACAACATACGTAAGGAAACTAGTCCACAGTATAAAGCTGCCTACACGTACGTACTCAGTCCATGTTTGATGTGCCTATACCCGCACTCCGCACGATGGCAACCACTCTTATCACCACCTTTCTTCTTGCTCACAGTGTTTTTTCAGCGCCTATCTTCCCTCGCAATGCCACTAGTTTCCCACCAAATGTATCTGATGCTTGCAACGATCTCCGAAATTGCCGAACGATGTGGGGCATCGTCTATAGCTGTCTCCTTACCGTCTTTGCCTGCATTTGGACAGCAGTGCACCCAAACGTGCCAAAGCACTATTATGGTGCCTGGTCGTTTAGATCACCCCGTGTCGGCTTCACGCTGCTTTCACTGCTTTCACCAGAGATCATTCTGGTATTTGCATGGAGGGATTTCTTAAAATCCTGGGAAATATCAAAGAAATGCAGGAATGTTGAAGGTGTGCCTTGAATTTAAGGAGAATGCAAAAATCAGGCTCTGACTTGCACTTGTAACAAGGGTGGACCTTTACACATTCATACTTTGTCGCCATGCATGGTTTCTTTGATCCATCGGCGGAAAGTGCGCTGGGTTACCGGGACGACCTGCAGCGATACCCCGGGATAATTGAGAAGTCTGGGAATGCTAGAAAGGCCGCAATAACAAAGGAGGAGATTCTTGACAGAAGCAAAGGGGATCCGTTTGCTAAATCCATCATTGTCCTTCAATTACTATGGTTTATCGCTCAATATGTCGGACGATGGGCAAGCCATTTACACAGATCACAACTCGAGACAATGACGCTGGCGTATGCGGCACTAAGTGTTGTTGTTTATGTGTTGTGGTGGCATAAACCCGTTAACATTCGATTCCCAATCCATGTGGCCAGAGAGTCCAATCCTGATCCTCCGACCTCCGGGACCAATGTTGATCAACCGACACCTAAAACGGAGACTGATGTAGATCTGATATCCCCCGTGACAAGGATCGGGGACGTGGAATTTGATCTCATATTTATAGTCACTGGGATGATCTTTGGGGGAATCCATTGCCTTGCATGGTCATTTCGCTTTCCAACACATGTAGAGATGCTTCTATGGCGGGTTTCAGCGATAATTATTACAGTCTTCCCTGGCTTTTTTATGTTCAGTGTACGGGTTGGTGGTAGTGAATGGCCGCCTGGTCTTGCGACCGCATTCATTGGGTTTGTTTACGCCACCGCGCGGGTTATCTTGTTTGTTCTTACCTTCACTTCTTTGCAATCGCCTCTACCTGATCTATACCAAACCCCATCTTGGTCATCATTCCTCCCGCATTTTGGATAGGTGTATGTACATGCAACCCTAATCCCATCGTCATCGAATGAAGGAACAGCTGCCAGCGTCCTAGGCTTTTTTTCAGCATAAGGTATCGTCCGCATAGCAAGAAATGTGAGTCCAAAAATGCGACTTCAACTCCCAACCCGGGTGGAAAGGGATAATGTCAATTGTCTAGTTTGAAACCTTGCAAGCCCAGCTGCGCCACACCGCCACACCAAGTGATGCCAACGGATCGTGATTTGAACGGGACTGCGGCGGCGGATCGAAAGGGAACAATTGGGCGGCGGAGTACGCGAGTAGCAGCAGACGACAGACAGAAAGGAGGATTACTTGAACGTGCCCAACATTAGGTAAGTCCAGAGCATTTGTTACCCCCCGAGCGTATTCAGCACCTGAGTATGGTCTCGGGGCCACGATCACCGGATAAACGAGGAAGCCTGTCAAACAAACCAGCGGACATAAGGTCGGGGCAAAAGGAAGACCTGTGTGAATTGACAGACACATGAACGACCAATAACTGCAGGATCCGAAGCGGGGCATCAACAAACGACGAAGCAGTAGCAAATGAGCGGATTACGTTAAGACGCACAATGGGGGGTTGAAAATGGAAAGGTCAAGGACGAATAACCCGAAGAAAGAACGCTTTGTGTTACCTCAGACAGGTGCTGGTTTTACGAGGAATAAACGCTATGCTACACATTCGCCGTTTACTAACTACAATTTCGGTCACTTCTAAGGGTCAGGACGATGCGTCCATTGTGAAGTGATCAGAAGCCTCGGATAATCGATTAGAGACACAGTGTTGTTCCCTACAGGTGAGGCAAATGAGTGAAGAGCAGAGACTGCAAAGTAGGCAAGCCCGCTTACAACAGAGTTCAAACGTGCTTGAAGGCATCGACCGGACGGATTGGACAGCCACTTGATTGAGTTTTCCCAGTTTCGTATTCCTTCCGCTTTCCATGCGCGCGCTCCCGTTTATGCTCGTTGGCGCACACATCTTGCTCAATTAACTAGTATTTACATGTGTTTGTGCCGACAAATTTGCCTTTAGAGTCTGATACTGACCGAGCCGCAGCCAAAACAAACCACCATTGGACTTGATGTAGCGGCGTGGCACAGTTTGTCAAGGTCTCAAATTAACCAGACAACTGAGTTGATCCCCTTCAGCCGAATGCCGAATGCCATAAAGTATTCCATCTGTGGAGGATTAGTAAACTTGCATCCTCGGACAGTGGACGCCGAATACTGTCGGGCTGCACTTGATGTAGTTGCCGAGTGGAGCTGTCGACAGCAGACTCGATCAACATTTCTGCTTTCAATCTATCTGACGTCGACGTCAGTTCATTCTATGCTCTCGATTATTGAATAGCACCGGCGGTCGGTTGATGACTCGTCCCCGTCCCCAAACGCAATCGTCAGCGTCCCTAAGCGGTTGGAGGTACGAAGTATCACATGTGTGGCGAGGAAATGAGACTGTAACAGCAGCAGAATTTTTCGCCCTTTGATCAACTGTTGTCGCGAGCTATCGAGTTTCAACGCTATGAGACGAAAAGTGGTCCCAAAAGAGGACGATTCACGTGTCCTTGCTCGGCGCTGATCTAGTTTCGAGAACGCACAGCCCTCGCTTCAGCTCGATTTCTCACAATTCGTGATCCGAGTGCACATGATTCAGTCTAACGCTGCATCCGAGATGTTGCCCTTACTCTTTCGTTGTCTTTGACTCAGGGATTTGCTCAAAGTCGGCCTTGTGGAGTCATATCGATGCTACGGATCGTGCAGATTGTGTGGAGTGGCCAGTGCGGTTGGCTGGGATTGGAGATGGTGGCAGAAACGACGTAGGAAACTAAGTGAAGGGTGGCGAGGTTTCGCAAAGGCTCAAAGGGATTCCTGGAATCGAAGTAATAGGTACTGATGCGTACCTCCGTCGTCGTAAGCACTACTCCGGGAGATAGTCTTACTGGGTGGTGACTAGGCGTTCGACTGTTGGGTAACAGTTGGACTCTTGATTGCCAATAGTCTCGCCGTCTGGGGAGTGTGATATATGTTCTCTCAAACTTCTTTGGGACCACCGCCCAGTTTACGAGGGCTAAAGAAAGCGTCCCAGTCTTCATGGCACTTGCCCAATCTTCAAGCGAGTGCTTGCATCCTATGCCACCCACTCTTGCCCTCTTGGGTCGTATTCTCCTGGTGTCTCATCCCTTTTGGTTCTATGTTTCCCAAGTGAACGTCTATACAATGATCGGATACGATCGGCTGACCGCTCGCAAATCAACTACTCTATGGGATTATTCTGGCTTCTACCGCTCGTCACTGGACCTGGCGCTTTATCAATAACGCGACATCGTATCTAACCGATACACTGTTGATCATTGACCGTCAATGTCTGGAACGGTGTAGCTGGAATTCCTCTTCCAGATACCACATGTGTAATGGGAGCGGTGCGGTGTTGGGAGATTCAGCTGTTCTAATGAGCACACAGGGTACGAGCCGGTCTATTCATAACCGTGTGTTCCGACCTGAACAAGATGTTGACGTCGGCCTTACTGTATGGATAGAACTCAATTACGGTATCATGTACGTCCACCTGCAATGGATACGGGCCAACTTGTAACTCCACTTCTGCGAACACATGTTATGTACCTTGCGGCTATATACGGCGAATTTCATCTGACAATTCCTGAGAAACCAATAAGGGGTAGATTAATTAATTTTGGTTCCATGCCGAAGCATCTCAACACACCTTTTCTGGGCGAATAGGGATTCGGCCCCCTACTTTCCAAGAATAAGGACCAGTACAGTATGGTTTCTATACCTTCTCATTTCGGTGTCTCCTGGAGGTTTCCTTGACGGTGTCAACCTCCTTCACCTGGGCGCTCAACGTGTCGTAACCACTCAATTATGAACCAATCTTTCCCCGCCGCTCGAATATATTAAATCCAAAGGCCTGTATGGATTCCTCTTCGACGTTCGGGTGCTATCTCATTTAATTTTCTGATTCCACGTGCCCATACTCCTAGCACAAGCAGTCGAATAACATTCAGTGCGACCCTATTGAGCCGGAACTCTTCCGTTGAGTTGGAGTCCATCGGCTAAACCTCACACACTGAATTGCTTGTACCTTCCAGTCATCGCTTCGCCGTGAGTCATCTAAGGTGTGTGAATGGGCTAAATTGCTTTGGGACCCCTGAAAATATTTATTGGCCTGCAGCCTTGAGGAGGCTCCGTGAGAAGGCACAGCATGCGGCGCCGCGCGCCAGTCTAGAGTATAAAGCCCATCCTTGGTCTAACACCTGGTAGCCTGCCTGCACCTGCATTCCTATGGCGGCTGCTCTTATCACCTTTCTTCTCCTTGTCCACAGTGTTTATTCAGCGCCCGTCTACCCTCACAACACGACTAATTTCCTGCTGGATGTATCTGATGCTTGCAGCGATCTCCGGAATTGCCGAACGATGTGGTGCATCGTCTATAGCTGTCTCCTTACCGTGTTTGCATGCATTTGGACGGCAGTACACCCAAACGTACCAGGGCGCTATTATAGTTCCTGGTCGCTTAAATGGCCCCGCATCGAATTAATGGCACTTTCACTGGTTTCACCGGAGTTCATTTTGACGATCGCATGGAAGGAATTCTTGACATCCTGGAGAATATCAAAGAAATGCAAGAAGGTAGAAGGTGCGCCCGGAATTTATGGGAAAGTAGGAAAGGACGAAGCCCTGACTTGTACTTAACACAAGAGTGGACCCTTACACATTCGTACTTTGTCACCATGAATGGCTTCTACGACCTACCAAAAGGAAGAACGGTGGATCTGAACGACTTGCAGCAATACCCCGGCATAATTGAGAAGTTTGGGGATGTTAGAAAGGCCGCAATAACGAAGGAGAAAATTCTCGACCGAAGCAAAAGGGATCCGTTCGCCAAATTGATAATCGTCATTCAATTTTTATGGTTCATCACCCAATACACTGGACGATGGGCAGGCCGTTTGCACAGATCACAACTCGAGACAATGACACTGGCGTATGTGGCACTGAATGTCATTGTTTACGTGTTGTGGTGGCATAAACCCGTTAATGTTCAATTTCCAATCCATGTGACGGAGGAGTTCCCCCCAACTTCCGAGACGAATCAACAAGCACTTAAAGTGGAGACAGGCGCAGATCCAACAACTCCTGTCAAGGAGGTCGGGACCCCGGGACTTGCTTTCATATTTGCGGCCACTGGGATCATTTTCGGAGGAATACATTGCTTTGCCTGGTCATTTCCCTTTCCAACATATGTGGAGATGATTCTGTGGCGGATTTCAGCGATATACATTACAGCGGCTCCTGTCGTTTTAGCGTTGAGCGTATGGGTTGCTGGTCATGCTGCAGTTGATCATGTTAGCGACGTTGGTGCAGGTGTAGTACTACTCAGTGGACCTGTTTATGCCATTGCACGGGTTATCTTACTTGTACTTACCTTCACCTCTCTGCGTTCACCTCCACCTGATCTATACCAAACCCCATCTTGGTCATTGCTCCTCCCACATTTTGGATAGCTGTATATACCGCCCTTCTCGTTAGAATTTTGTTTCATTACAGGACAGTCCAATGCTGATAAAGTACGCTTGAACACGACTTACATGTGCAGTTACATTTTAGATAAAAATTCATGAGACCACAAATTACGCATCAAGGACGCCTTTCGCATTCCGTTTACTCTTTACCTCTCTCAACATCAGTCACCCTCACACTGACCCCACACTCCCCAGACTCATTGCGTGTAGGTAATGTATCCAATAGCAGTCCTACTTAGGCTTATTCGTTAAGGGTGCTACCGTTGGTGCAATTGATATGGAGATAGATGGGATGTGGGCAGGATTCCAGCCTCTACTAAAGTAGAATGGGATGTGGGTGACATTGAAGTCAAGTCAACTTGGCCGGTAGAACCCCTAGTAGCAGTGCGTCAGACGGGCAGCATAGTAGTTCCCATAGTGCAACATCCCAGGTGACTGAATCGTGCG